TTTTATTATAAATTACTTTTTTTGTTCTTTTCAGGCCAAATAGAATAATGAGACTTCGTTTCAATCATTTTGCTACAGAGTGTAGTTGGGACCATTTATACGTTTATGATGGGGACTCAATTTATGCACCTCTAATTGCTGCCTTTAGGTAAGCTCAGTTATATAAGTACTAGTTCGTCATTACTTTATTTCTAAATTTAAATGTGTCTCCTGGATTGCATTCTTACTGAATTCATCTTTGTTGTCACTGAACATACTCATTTCATGGAAAGAGTACTTGTGTGCTAGTCCTGACTTGGTTTCTATAGCTACTGGGCAAGTTTCTGGGCATCTTACTTGACCTTTCTTTTCAGTTTCCTGATCTGTAAAATTGTGATAGTGCTATTAAGTTCACCATGGTGGTGGTGAAGTTTACATTTTCACAAGTTTTATGAGTAATATAGTGAATGATGTTTCTGTGAAAAATTTAAATTAGGAATCATATCCATCTTTTTTTCTGTTTTTCTCATTGCATGGGCTTTTAGGAGTTATTTGTTGAATTCAAATACAGTTTTTGTGTGTGTGTGTATGTGTATTTACATATATGTGTTATCATGGGTGAGGGAAACTTTCTGGAAGAATATACATAAAATGAACAGTGGTTATCTGCAGAGAATGAGGAACATACCAGTTATGTATTGTGAGTTCCTTTTTTTTTTCTTTGAGACAGGATCTTGGTCTGTCGCCCAGGCTGGAGTACAGTGGCCTGATCATAGCTCACTGTAACCTTGAACTCCTGGGCCCAAGTGATCCTGCTACTTCAGCCTCCTGAATAGCCAGGACTACAGGTGTGGGCCACCATGCCCGGCTAATTTTTTTTTTTTTTTTTTAAAGATGAGATCTTGCTATATTGCCCAGGCTCATCTTGAACTCCTGGCCTTTAACAATCCTCTCACCTCGGCGTTGTGATTTTTTTTTTTTTTCAGTAAGTACATTCTAGTTTACTAGTTAAACAAAAACTATTCAACATCACATGGGAATTCAAAACTGTCTCTATTTTTTCCTTTTATTTGATAGAAGATTTTAAAATACAGTCATGAGTCACTTAACGACGAGGATACATTCTGAGAAACTCATCATTAGGCAATTTCATCATTGTGCAAACATCATAGAGAGTACTTACACAAACCTAGGTGGCATAGCCTACTACACGCCAAGGCTGTATGTTACAGCTTGTTGCTCTTAGGCTTCCAACTTGTACAGCATGTTACTGTACTGAATGCTGTAGGTAATTGTAACACAGTGGTAAGTATTTGTATACCTAAACACAGAAAAGGTACAGTAAAATACAGTAGTATAATCTTATGGAACCACCGTCATATATACAGTCCATTGTTGACCGAAATGTCATCATGCATTGCATAACTATGTATTTTTCTAAAATGCTCATCTGCTTAGGAACCGTAGTTGTCAATTTTTCATCTGCAGCTGATTTTCTAGATTTCCTTTCCTCAGACGTTTTATTTCTTTGACTTTGAAAAAAAATCAATTCAACAAATATTTCTTGTCTTTCTCACATGGGGCTAGTCTGGTTGATGTTCCATGCGGGTGAGGGGAGGTAACAGGGAGTAAGCAGCACACAAGGAGCTAAGCAAGGGACAGGAGAGCAGGGACCTGAGGTGCTCTTGTATTTCTCCACCCGCTTTGACTTAGAAGTCTCTCTGACATGTCTTTGAACTGAGAAACAAGGCTGTTTTCTGGGTTTTAAAGGTTCACTTATGGGGCCAAAGAGCAGGGTGGCTAGGCCACGCTAAGCATTTAAAATGGCATGGGCCAAGTGTTGGCATGTATATTTTTATGCTAGCATTTGAAACATAACTTATGTTTTAGCAAGAGGCACCCCAAGCTTTAACACAAGCATGAAAAATATCTGAGTATGTTGTTATTGTTATAGTACTTCCTGGGGATTCACTTGTTAACTGTGTTTATTAATCAGAATTCACGGAGCCCCTGTTATGTGCCAGGCATTTTGAATCAGCTTGTCAGTAGCTCTTGTAGGAACATGAGCCAGGCAGGTTGTACATAACCCTGTGGGTCACCTGGACTGTGTATTTGTTGAGCAGACATGTAAATTCCACATCAGCAGCAATAGCAAAACAAGCAGAAGCTTATAATTGTTCTAATCAGTGACTTTTGAGAGAAGCCAAAGTGTATATTACGGATAGAGGAACTCTTAAGTTTCTCAGTTTGTTAACTGATAGCATAAATTAATGCATTGATCTTACTAAAATTTATGGCATGTTTGTGAATTTTCTAAAATTATGGTGAGAAAATATATACAAATTGAAATTTACCTGAAATACAAAACCCCTAAAGCACTGATGTGCAGAACAATTTGAAGATCACTGTCTTAGCCATAAGAGCACTGCCACAACGTGGTTTGCGGAGAAGTGCTGTTGGACCAGGAGAATTTTGGATTGAGGTATCCAATCCAGTGGTAATATGCTGAGGGTCCAGAGTGGAGAGAGCCTGGTGGCAGAGACAGTTTAGCTAGGGCCGATAACAGTCAAGGAAAGAAAAATCAAACAGGATTCAGAAGACATGGACTTTTAATCGGGTTCTGCCCAAGTCTCTGTGTGAATTTAAATAGGTCATTTAAGTGCTCTAGACCTCAGCTTCTAAAACCAAAAATGAAGGTAGTGTGTACTATGTTAGTTCAATCTGTGTTCTCTCTGGGTATATTGCAAACTATAAAGTTTAGTTTGGTTCCAAACTGGTGGATCACATTTATCTTTTATATATTGAACTTCTGACTAAAATTTATTTAACAAACACAGTTCCATTACTAGACACATGTGAGAATTCCTGGAGTCATTTATCTTTTAAGACTTTTCCAGCCCTACAACATTATGATTTTGCTGTGCATTCAACAGATGCACGTATGGGGGAGCACATTAATGGAGCAGGCACTCCCCTAGGATCTGTTGGTAGGGGATGCAGAGGTAGTGGAGTAGGGGCAGTGGTTTTCCTCCCTGAGAACATTCTTCAAAAGGACGTTATTCATTTTAGAGTTTTTTGTTTGTTTGTTTGTTTTTTAAGGAAGTCATATTGCTGAGGCAGTTGTTAGACTGTGATGATACAGAGGAAGCCTTGCGAAGGCAGGGGTCAGTCGACCCATGGCCCATTCGAAACCACGATCAGACTGTGGCATGCTTAGAGAAGCTGCTCACAGGCAGGCACCTCTCTCATGTTCTTCAACTCTCTCCTTCACTAGTCAGAAGTGTGGGCCCTGCCTGGCCCCACCGCCTGGCCCCGACTTTAGGAATCTGCCTTACTTTCCACATCTCTCTGCCCTTGTCCTTGTAGTCTTACAAGAAGGTAGGTGTGTCAAACTGAGGATTACTAGTCAACTTACACAGTATAGTTGGTAAAGTCAGGTTATGCCCCAGGTATGTTCAGAGAGCCCATGTTTGCCTGGGACAATTATGCTGAATTTCAGGTCTATTAAGACAATCGTTCAGTGATTTTTCAAAATGATTCTGAATGATAATGGTCTATGTTTAAAATACAAGATTATGAACAACACGAAGGCAGGCAGTTCTTGATTTGCTCAGGTTGAACAACTGGTTGCAACCTAGGCTGTGCCTGCATTTATCGATCTGCTTAGGGGCAGCGGTTGGGAGGCGGGAGACAGTTCAGGGCAACTGCTGAAGAGTGCGCCTGTAGCATCTCTTCCTCACTCACACACTTTCCATTACCTTCGTATGCTGGGCGAGGCTATGTTTGTATTCATTTGCTCTATGCAAATTTATTTTTGTCATAAACCAGTTGTTTCGTTTTCTTGCTGAGAGAAATCAACACACTCCAAAGCTGTCACAATTTCAAGTTTTTGAAGTGAAAAGAAGCGAACACCCGTGCCCCTCTGACAGTGGGGAAGCTGATCCACTGCGTATCCACTGCATTAGGCAGTTGTAGTTGGTAAAGTCATTCATCCTACACACTTAAATGTCTGTCCCCACCATATAAAGAATATCATCAGCCATCACTTACGGCACACCTGCTAGTGTGAGGCACTGTTCAAGCACTCCACATGCTTTAGCAGTTTGATCCTCACGACATCACTGCAGTGTAGACAGGGATTCTCTCATTGTGCATTTGAGGAAACTGAGGTTCAGAGATGTCAGTGACGTGCCCAGGCATATGGAATGAGGATTGGAGCTTATGTCTCCTTTTTCCTGAAATTCATGCTAGGATAATAAGAGAGTATAGGGTCTCTCACATGTGACTGAGGCCCTCAGTCCTTTGCTGTGCTAGTGTGTCTCGGGGGCAGATTACTTTTGATATTCCTGTTTCTAGACTGCCCTGCTCTTGCCAGTACTTATCCCTTCAGCATTTCAAGGGATTCTGGTATATCATATAACTAATGAAAGCGTGATAATGGTTGAATCCTTCATTTAGGTCTCTGATTAAATGTCACGTCTTCCAAGAGGCCTTCCTCAACTGCCCTTTCTAAAGTACACCCTTCTCTTCTTTTCTTCTGCTGTTTCCCATCATAGCATTTATCTGCCTGGTATTATTTATGCACACACTTGCATGTGGGGTTGTATCTGAGCTTATTTGTTGTTTCTTATGAACTCCATGAGGGCAGGAATACAGTCTTTTTCACTGTTGTATTCCTGGTACTTAGAGCAGTGCCTCACATGTGGTAAGTGCTTAGTAAACATTTGTTAGTTGAATACATAGTAGAAGATGTGTGACTATTTTGTAGGCCCTGGAGCACCTTCAGAGTCTTAGAATTCCTAGAGTTCTGTCTTCATATTGAAAATTAAATAAAAGTCCCATCCCCTCCTTGGCTTGATTGCCTGCTTATGTACTCTTCCAGTCATGTTTATAGGCAGTTACATAAGTACATGTAAATGTACACATATACTAGGCTCATTGTTTTGCAGATTGCTCCCCGCCTCCATCAGAATGCCTGAGGAGCTCCTTATTAGTCCTTCAGACTCATTCAGCCAGCTCCTGGTGGGTGGGCATTTAGGTGGTTTCCAACCTATTGCCATCTCATAGTGCTGCAGTTAGAATTCTTATATATTTGTCATTGTGTACATGAGCAAGTATTTCTTCTACGAAGAAATAGGATTGCTAGGTCAGAGAAAATGAGCATTTAACATTGTCATAGGCCCTGAGGTGGGAGTTTACCTGTTGTGTGCTCTAGGAAAGCGAGGGGGCCAGGTCAACTGAGTGAAAGGGAGACAGCAGTAGGAGATGGTTTGTTCATTGGGTGGGGTTGTGTGTGTGGAGCAAATTGTATAGGTCCTGGGAAGGATCTAGGCTTTTACTAAATGTGGTGGTGGTGAATCAATATGGGGCAAAAGTCACAGCATACAAAGAAATGCAAACGGCAAGTAAACATAAGCAAAATGATTAACCTCAGGATTATAAAAGAACTCAAGGCCACAACTTAAAAAAATCACTTTTCATTTATTAAATTAGCAAAACTAAAATAGGATTGGTTGTTGTTTGCAGGGTGAGGTGGGATGGACCCTTTCATTCTGTATCGATAGCATTTCAAGTCAGCGTATCTCTTCTGGGAAGCAAGTTGGTATTACGGATGAAGAGTCTTAAAGCCATCATTTAGACCCTTTGACTCAGTAATTCTTTCCCTTACCAGGCACCCAACAAATACTTAAGAATCTGTTATGTGCTGAGCTCAGAGTGAGGGAGTATATAGGAAATGCTTACAATATATTATTTGTAAAATAGAATAAAAAATGTAAATGATATCAACAAGGCCAAAAAAATGCATCAGAATGCTAATGGTGTTGGAGTTATAGGTGTTGATTTAGCTTCTTTCTTTATTATTTTTATATAAATAAATATAATGTAAAATGTTCCACATATTTCAGTAGTATATATTTGGCATTCGTCATCTCATAAAAATTATTTTATGTGATTGTGGAGGTTTACTCAGTTTTTCAAAGGAGCATTATAAAAAGTTTTTTAAAAAACCAGACAGGGCCATTGATTTCAAATCTCATTAGAAATACAACTCAGAATAAAGGAAGCCTAACTAAAGATTCAGATAGGATCCAGAACTAACTAGATCCAGAACTAATGGGGTAGCACTCTGTATTTATCACAGGAATTTGCTCCTCTTCCTAGATGTATTAAAATCGTAGGGATGAATTCCAGTTTTTAATTTGTGTCTACTACCATCGGACATGTCTGTGATTGTGCTTCCCTCTATAAGAAGTGTGTTTTTTGTTTCAGTGGCCTCATTGTTCCTGAGAGAGATGGCAACGAGACCGTCCCTGAGGTTGTTGCCACATCAGGTTATGCCCTGCTGCATTTTTTTAGTGATGCTGCTTATAATTTGACTGGATTTAATATCACTTACAAGTAAGATATTTAAGTCTAGTATTTGTGATTTTATTCAAACGACTATGTATTTTGTTTTAGCAATAATAATGTGCCAGGCATTGTGCTAGACAGTTTGCATGGATTTTCTTATTTAAAGTTCTAAAAACTCAGTGAGGCATGGGGACTGTTTTTCTTTCATTTTATAATTGAGGAAACTGATGGGAAAGTATTAAGTAAATTATCAAATAAGTGGTGGTGCCACAGTTTCAACCTGGGTGTTGCTGCTGTTGAGCTTCCCCTGGAAGACAGGGACATTTTCCTGCTAATGCTGTGGTGGTACCCAACCCCAGGGCTGCAGACTGGTACTGCAGAGAACCCTTTCCCCTCCCCCTAAGAAAAATTGTCTTCCATGAAACTGGGGGTGGGGCGCACAGCTGGAGGTGAGTGGCTGGAAGCTTCGTCCCTATTTACAGCTGCTCGCCATCACTTGCATCACTACCTGAGCTCTGCCTTCTCCCCTCACACCCCCATCTGTGGAAAAATTGTCTTCCATGAGTCCATGAAACCAGTCCCTGGTGCCAAAAAGGTTCGGGACTGCTGTCTAATGAATAAAAACATGAAGAGGGAGGGTTTGCTAAGTACAATTTAACAAAATATTAATAGTTACCATGTACTCAGTAGTAGAAGGAATCTATACTCTCAAAGTACTTTGATAGGTCATTTATCTTCCCCTTTTAAAATCTAAACTGTGTTGTTTCAAAGTGCTGTCAATACAATTATTTATTTATTTTTTTTGAGACAGCGTTTCGCTCTTTTGCCTGGGCCAGAGTGCTATGGTGTCAGCCTAGTTCACAGCAACCTCAAATTCCTTGGCTCGAGTGATTCTCTTGCCTCAGCCTCCTGAGTAGCTGGGACCATAGGCTCATGCCACCATGCCCAGCTAATTTTTTCTATTTTTAGTGGAGACGGGGTCTCACTTTTGCTCAGGCTGGTCTTGAACTCCTGAGCTTAAGCGATCCTCTGGCTTCCCAGAGTGCTAGATTATAGGTGTGAACCACTGCGCCCGGCCAATACAATTATCTTAAGTTATGTTGTTAGGAGACACATTATAGTTAAATTCTTAAGTTAAATTTGCCCTTCTTTGTCCGTCTGAAATGAGTAGATAAAGTTACTGAGAAATTTTAAAGACACCAATCTGGGCAATAATCTTCAATTCTACAAATTTTCAGAGACTGTACAAAGGGATAGGTACCATGAAGGTGGTAATGTATTGTTGGCAGTTAGTTTTATTCTTTTCCTCCCCAAACTTGCAAACACGAATTTGGCAGTTTTGTAATCCTCATTGTTAGCGGGCTACCAAGAAGACTAGCATAGTCATTCCACCCTTGAGGAGCTAAGTCTGGACAATATTGCATATATCTCCTTCCTCCTTGTAATTTCTTTGACTTTATGAGTTATGTATTTTTATCCTTTTATTGTGAGAATGCAGCAGGGTTGATTTGTTTCATTATTTGTACCCTAGCTATGCAGTGTTGAGTGAACCCATTTGGGCTGAACGGTATACTGCAACTATGCTTGTGAATGAATTAAGGAGACAGTGAGATTCTTAAACCTTATTTAGGAAGAAGTTCTGCTAAATTAACTGAAGTGTTGCTTTACGTTAACTTAATTTTCCACACCATTTTTATAGTTTTGACATGTGTCCGAATAATTGCTCGGGCCGAGGAGAATGTAAGATCAGTAATACCAGCAACACTGTCGAGTGTGAATGTTCTGAAAACTGGAATGGTGAAGCATGTGACATTCCTCACTGTACAAGTAACTGTGGTTTTCCTCATCGAGGCATCTGCAATTCAAGTGATGTCAGAGGATGCTCCTGCTTCTCAGAGTGGCAGGGTAGGAGCTTCTTTCATTTTTATTTTTCTTTCAATTTTAGAAAATGTTCCCAATTTAATAAATTATTGATGGACCTTATCCTAAGCAACTATATAATTTATGTTAATCAAATATCAGATAACATTTCAGCGTTCACATCCCTTTATCCAGCTTCTTAGAAATCTTTCAATTTCACACATGTGGTTGTGAAATTGAAGGGTTAGGACATTCTTTGCAACCCATTCACGAAAGTTGGAGAACTTGTTCTCAGCCATAGGAGGACATAGCCGAGAACCAGTCTGGGAGGTGGGAAAAGAGCTGACAATAATGGTATTTCCTCAGAAGTGTTCTCTGAGTTCAGAGAAAATTAGGGTCAGTTATACATTAAATCCTAGTGCAATCAGCTAATGGCATTATCTACAGAAATAGATTATTAAAGAAGCTTTAGGGAATTCTTTAAGGGGGGGTAGATGGTAATAGCTGTTATTAAGTGATTTTCTTTATATGCTTAGCCCTTCCTCATAAACTTTTTATTTTGGAAGAAATTTGCTTGTTTAAGTTATATAGTTTTTTGGGTTTGGCCAACATTGAGCAGTTAATAATTGAAGTATTTTGAGTATCTATTACCATGCAAATATTGTGGCAGAAGCCAAACGTCCCAAGAATGGAGTCTGTCTCTTGCATCTGTTTAAGTTTCTTGATTTACCAGAAGATGAATAGTTTGTATTATTATTCTCAGATCTAATCACTACAGTGGGCCCTCTGTAGCTGTGGGTTGTGCACCTGCAGGTTCCACATTCAGACAACTGTGGATTAAAAATATTTGGGGGAAAAACACAATAAAAAATAATACAAATAAAAAACAATATACATAACAACTATTTACATAGCATTTACATTGTATTAGGTTTTATAAGTAGCTTAGAGATGATTTAAAGTATATGGGAGAATGTGCATAGGTTTTATGCAAATACTATACCATTTTATATAAGGAATTTGAACATCTGTGGATTTTGGTATCTGGAGGGGTCCTGGAACTAATCCTCTGTGGATACCAAAGGACAACTGTACATTTTGGCCCTAAAGTTTTTCATTTGAATTAATAATTTTTTCATCTAGTCTTTCTCTTGAGAGCTGTTTAAGCAAGTATTTCATTTCTAAAGAAAACCTAACCTGGATATGGTCAAGTCATCATCAGAAATTACGTAATTTTGAATTTTATTAGGGATTGCCTTTGGTTAATACTTTGAGTAACTTAAAAGTGCAAATTAAAGAGACTTGTCTGATATTTAGATGCTAAAGGAAGACTAAGTATTTGTTACATTTAGATGATTAAAACTTGAAATATGCAATAAGCTTTAAAGCTGCATTTTGTGAAACTAATTTATTATGTTTTATTAGGTCCTGGATGTTCAGTTCCTGTACCAGCTAACCAATCATTTTGGACTCGAGAGGAATATTCTAACTTAAAGCTCCCGAGAGCATCTCATAAAGCTGTGGTCAATGGAAATATAATGTGGGTTATCGGAGGATATATGTTCAACCACTCAGATTACAACATGGTTCTAGCGTAAGTTGTTTTAAACATTTTTGCAAGAAGCTTAATTTTTCATTCGAAAATTTATGAAGTACAGATAAGCAAAAAGAAAAAAAAATCACCAATAATTCCATCAGTTGAGGAAAATCCCTGTTAATATTTTGGTAGTAGTCTTTCAGACTGTTTTGGCATATGTTGAGTTTTTAAAATTGAGAGCCACAAAATATTCATTGTGTGATAAGCAATAATTCATATTTTTCAGATACTGTCTCTGATATTTTGCTTTAGGTATATACAGTAGGTTCTGTATAATTAGGGGATTACTTTATCTTTTAATGTAATTAATGGTTCCATAGGTCAAGTGGTTGGAATTTATTTTAATAGTTTGCTAGGGGAAATTATGGCACTGTTTAATACTCTCCAAGGATCAAGGTCTGTATGCTGATCCCATGTTGCTTGTTTTGAAGGAGAATGTATGTTGTCACAGTGAAATTAGCTATGGAAAGTGACTTTTAGAAGAAATTTATGAACATGCTGATTTTGTGACCTAGAATTTTTTTCTAGACATTTTCTATTAATGAAGATTGTTAAAAACCAACATCTCTTCTTTAAGGGATTCTGTAAATATGGCCATAGTAACATAGTTTCTGAATCCCCCCAAATATAGTCATTAAAACACACAGAACAGCTAGGCTAGCAAAATCAAAAACACACAACCAACACCTGTAACAAAACTTGGTCAGAAGGTAACCATACGAATGGATGAGGCACAGCCACAATACCTGTGTGGTATCAGTGCACGTGCACGAGCAAACAAAGGGGAGCAATGGCAAGGCCAGTAGGATCTGGTATGGCTAGAAGATACTCACATGAAAGCTCAGCAGACCAATTGAGAACAACGGCTGGAACTGGAAAGAGTTTTGCAGGTTCTAGTAGCCAGGTGAGCTAAAGGGATCTGTAGTAGGATCAGAAGGGGCTAGAGCAGTTTGTCCCTTGTTTACTCTGAAAATGAACCAGCCAAAGTGTTTTTGCACAGGACAAAGTTCCACACTGAGGAGAAACTTCAGGGAATAGAATTCAAAATTGAGTAAGACAGGGACAGTAGAGACAAAGTAAAAGAAAGTTCAGATAATAAGTCAGAAATGGGTCGGGAACGGTGGCTCAAATCTGTAATCCTAGCACTTTGGGGAGGCTGAGGTGGGAGGATTACTTGAGGTGAGGAGTTTGAGACCAGCCTGAGTGAGTTCGAGACTAGCCTGAGCAAGAGCGAGACCCTGTCTCTACAAAAAAATAGAAAAGTTAGCCAAGTGTGGTGGCATGTGCCTGTAGTCCCAGCTACTCGGGAGGCTGAGGCAGGAGGATCGCTTGAGCCTGGTAGTTAGAGGTTACAGTGAGCTATGATGACACCACTACATTCTAGCCAGGGCTACAGAGTGAGACCCCATCTCAGAAAACAAAACAAAACAAAACAAAACAAAACACAAACAATCAGAAATGAACTGAGCCAGGAGATCTCAAGTAAGCTGTTGTATATTTGAATGCTACACTACAGCAAGAGTGAGCTTGAGAGCTGAGAAATTAGAAAAACTATCCTGTGCCAAACCTCCCTTGTAAAAGTTTAAGAAAAAGTAATTTTTCTTAAAATTCAGCAACAGAAAAATATCAAGGTCCAATCTCATAGAAAGTTATTATAAGAAAAAAGAGGGCCGGGCATTGTGGCTCATGCCTGTAATCTTAGCACTATGGGAGGCCGAGGCGGGTGGATCGTTTGAGCTCAGGAGTTCGAAACCAGCCTGAGCAAGAGTGAGACCCTGTTTCTACTAAAAAAATAGAAATTAGCTGGAGATATATATATATATATATATAAAATTAGCCGGGCATGGTGGCACATGCCTGTAGTCCCAGCTACTCGAGAGGCTGAGGCAGGAGGATTGCTTGAGCCCAGGAGTTTGAGGTTGCTGTGAGCTAGGCTGATGCTACGGGACTCTAGCCCAGGCAAGAGAGTGAGACTCTGTCTCAAAAAAAAAAAAAAAAAAAAAAAAAAAAGAATAAGGAGTAGAACAAACCCCTTCATACATGAAAGCATTAAAAATTAAAAAAAGGTCACAAAACTGATGAAAATTATAACTCAGTATTCCAGAGCAAGCTAAGATACAATAAGAAAGTGATACAAGATATGAAAGATTCAGAAATGAGATGATAGAAGTTAGGAAAGAATTTTAAAAATTTAGAAATAATTTTAGAAAGAAGACAAACCTAGGAGGACCAGAGTAAAATAAACACAGTAGATAGTACTTTAGAAATAGAATGTTCTACTGAAATAGAATATTTGAAAAGAGGAAATTTCTTTAAGTCATAAAGAAATGAAGGTCTTTTTTCCCAGTTTTTTGCAGTAAGCACTGTTAAAAATCCTGGATGTTATATATAAAGAAGCGTGAGAAAACTTGGAAAGGTGGAGAGAAGGTGGCAATTTTGCTAAGGACTTGAGGGTGCAAAGAATGATGGCAATGAGTTCCAAGGGTTTTCTTTTTGCCTCATATACCCCAGACTTGACATTGGAGAAGCTGGCAATCTGGAGATGCCGACAGGCACAAGCTGAACAAGCCTTAAGTACAGCTTGTTCTCTCTAGCGCAGGACCAGGAAAGGGGCAACCTAACAAGACAGGAAACTTTCAGACAATAACGGCTTTACTTCAGCCAAACACTGTAGAAGTGTGGCCCCACCCTCATCCATGTCAGCAAAGCCTGAGCCTAAATTTCCACCCTCACCACGATGTAGTCAGGTGTCCCAACCCCACTGCCAGGGTACCGTTAGAGAAGACCAAACAAGGCGCTGGGACTCATCTCCACAAGGCAGAATGAAGCTTCCCCTACTCTTATGATGTCAGTGGAGACCACATGGGGGGCCTGGACTTCTTCCTCCACTTAGCAGTAAACAGCAGTAAGGAGTCGACCTTCCCCATCCCCTCTGGGGTGATATCAGAAGAGGTCTGCTGTCACAGATGATTTAAATAAGATCCAGAGTTTCATGACATGATATCCAAAATGTTCAGATTTCAATGGAACATCATTGGTCATGCTAAGAGCCGGTAGGATCCAACTTGAATAAGAAAAGGCAATCAAGAGACACTAACACTGAGATAACACGGATGTTAGAATTATCTGACAAGGATTTTAAAGCAGCCATCATAAAAATGCTTTGATGCCAACAACTGAGTGGCATGGAGGTGCGAGAGCCTGACGCTACTTCTTTGTGGGAAAACTGTGCCATTCATGCTCCAGAGCTCCCCTTGGGATCAGGCCAAAGTTAGACTTCAGCTCAGACCACCTTTTTGCGTAGCTTCTCCTTCTATACCTTGTCTGTCTTACTTCCTGACATGTATATCCAGAGAGCATTCCCTCAATAAATCACTTATACAAGAATATCCATCCCAGGTCTGTTTTTAGGGAACCCGACCTGAGGCACTTTCCAATCTTTTCAGATCTTTCTTTCTAATATCTCAGCTCCAGCAATCTTTGACCCACAAGGGTCCATAATCCATTGATTCTTTCTCACACCTTTTCCCATTCTCCTGCTTAACTATTGTACTTTTTTTGTTTTTTTCAAATCTCTACCACCTTATCCCCTATTTTCTTTCTTAGCTAGTGGCTTTGCTTCCTGTTTCTATTTTGAAAGATAAAGGTCATCAGAAAACAACTTCCACAACCACATTTACCTTTTACCTATGTCTTTGCTCATTTATTCTGTTTTTACCTATGTCTATGCTCATTTATTCTGTTTTTATCTGTAGATCAGTGCTGTCCCTTAGAAGTTCTGGTCGTGATGCAAATGTTCTGTGTTTACACTATCATGTCACTAGCCATGTGTGGTTAGTTAGCGCTTCAAATGTGGCTGGTGTGATTTAGGAGCTGAATTCTTCATTTTCCATTCTTAGTCTTCATTTTATTAATAATCTTGCACCAACATTGACACAGTTAATCTCTCCCTCTTTTAAGCACTTTCTTCAGCTGGCTTACAGGACATCACATTCTCTTGATATTTTTCTAACTGCTTCTTCCTTCTCAGCCTCTTTAGCTGGTTGCTCTTTACCTGACTGACTTTGGAATGATGGTGTACCCCAGGGCGGAGCCCTTGGTCCGCTTCTGTCTGTGTATTCGCTCTCTTGGTGATCTCAAGTAATATCTTGGTCTTTATGCTGGTGCCTCCTGAATTTGTATGTGCAGCCTAGACTTTTCTCCTGAACCCATATCTCCAGCTCCTTACTTGACATCTCAATCTTTTGGCTGTTTAATAGGCATCTGAAATTCAACATGTCCAAAACTGATCTTTTTCCCAAGGCTGCTCTTCCCCCAGATGTCCCAATGCAAAATGAATGGTCATTTCAGTTAATGACTGCTCCATCCTTCTGTTTACTGAAGCTAAAAATCTTGGAGTCATCCTTAACTTCTTGTTTTTTCATACTCCATATTGGTATGTGTATTAGTTATCTTTTGCTGTATAATAAATTACCACAAACGTAGCAGCTTGAAACAACTCACATTTATTATCTCACGGTTTCTGGTGGTCAGGAATCTGGACGCAGCTGAACTGAATCCTTTGCAGTCAAGGTGTCAGTTGGCCTGCATTCTCACCTAGATGCTGACTGAGGAAGAATTTATTCTCAGGCTTACTCAGGTACTGGCAGAAGCAATTTCCTTGTTGTGGTAGGACCGAGAGTCTCAGCTTGCCGCTGGCTGTCGACTGGAGGCTGTCCTCAACTCACAGAGGCTGCCCTCAGCTCCTGGAGGCCGCCTTCCCATCATTCCTTGTCACTTGGGCTTCACTAATATGGCTGCTTGCTTCATAAGGCCATGGGGAGGATCTCTAGACTGAATCTGCTAGCAGGATGGTGTCACAGAAAAAAAAAAAACCTCATCATCTTTGCCATATTCTATTGGTTAGAAGTAAGTCACAGATCCTGCTTACATCCTAGGCAAAGGGATTATAGTGGCTGTGAACACCAGGAGGTGGAGATCACAGGCGCTCTCCAAGT